TGTGGTAGGAAGTAGGAAATAGGGACCTAAACCATACTTGGCCGAAATGGTCAATATGGTAGGTGGGATGGACTGATCCTCAGCAGGTGGATGTACTGGTAGCATTGAGCAACTTATTGACTCTTGTTGGTTATTAGACAGAGTCAGTAGATGCTCAATATGTACCTATTTTTGTAGCATGGGCAGGAGTACCCCTTGTACTCTATATAATAAACTATATTTGCTGTGCAAAAAAAAACTTTGCACTGCAAAACTATATTTAAATTTATTGTTCATTTATCAATTGAAATTAATATATTTATAAATTCAAGTGCTATATTGTTATTATAAGTTTACAATCTATATAATTTATGTTTATTTTTTTATTTAGAGATTTATTATAAATATTTTGTGTATTCATTGATTTAGTAACGCATCATGATAAATATATCAAGCATTATCAATACTTTATTAGTGAGTTAAATAATTTAATAATATATGTTAAAAAAAAATAAGAGAAGGAGTCCTCTTTCATTAAAAAAAAAACTTCAATAGGACAACCGCTCAAGTTGTCAAATTCGATTTGGATTTTTCATACATGAATAACTCGACGCAAGGACGAATTGATGTGGACTTTAACCAATTAACCTCATTGATTTACAACGTTACAATATTAGCAATTATTGCAATAATTAATGTCATCTAATAAGAACTCATTGTTCGCAAATAATGTCAAGTAAAGAAATGACTATTGAGCTGGCAACACAAATAATTTCTATGTTCCCTTCAAATTGTTTTTAATTACTTCCGCTCACTGCTAACATTGTCTTTTACCCATCCAGTGCCGAATCTTTTTTTTTTTTTTTTGGCCGAAGTTAGGATCTTCAAAGCCTTTAAAAGTTAACCATAGTACAGACAACCAGTTAGAAAGAAATAATAACTAAAAATAAAAAACCTAGCAGCCGTCTACCCTAGAAATAATCTTAAACGTCCTTCTTTTCTCAAATTTCCTCTAATCTGTGTGAAGATTTAACACTAAAAACTCCAATTTAAAGTTTGAAGCCTTTAGTCAAGTTAAACGATCTTTTAATCAACTAAACTGAAGAGAATCTTGAATCTGGGGCCTAGTTGTGGCTGTATTTGTGTGGCTTCCCTGGAATTTGTCTTTGGGATCACTGTGGTCATACCAAAAACCAAGCGCATCCTAAAATTTGATGGTTTCTGCAACAAATGAATTCTTCTTAGGATTTTGAGCTTTGACTACTAATTAAGGGTGTGTTTTGTTGGAACCTTCCCTCCTCTAGGAGAAAGTCTAAAATATCCTCTAGGAGAAAGTCTACAATACGCCGCACCAATAATATTTTGACACGCTTTAGATTATGGGACATAAAACACCTCAAATTAACACCGTTTCTTTGCCTTCCTTCTTCCTTTCTTCGTGGCCGTTTCTACTTCTTCCTCTCTGTCTTTTTATTTTTTTATTTTTTTTGCTACTTTTACCTACTACCCTTGAAATGTTGAATAACCATTTCTTTTTCTTTGTATAGTTTCAATAAAGTGATTTATGAGATTCTTCTTTTTTTTTATGGTCATTAAATTTTTTTCTTTGTAAATCTTTTATCATTAATTGAAATCTTTTTATCTTAGATACTATTGTCATCAATAAAACAAAAGAAATTCACTTTGAAATTCAATTGGGGAATGTGAAGGAAGGCTGAGACTTTGGAGGTATATTATCAAAAAATCATGAATTTAAATGCTGTGGCAATCTGTAAAATAAGTTTTTATGTGCTCACAGTACCTCTGAACACCAGATCATGGCGGCTGTCATCTAACTCTTTCATCACTTCTCCAAAACCCATCCATTTTTGCTTTTCCCCAAATTCTACAGTTGACATTGATGCTAATCATCACAAGGTATTTTAAGAACAATCCCTCTTGTATCCTTGAGAGAGGAAAAGAGCGGAGAATGAAAAGGAAAGGAAATGCCGATAAGAGAAGGAAGACAAAAGCCGAAAGAAAGGAAAAATGATGACAGGAAATGGTGTTAGTTTTAGGTGTTTCATGGTTACTCAACCTTTCAAGAGTAGCAAGCAAACGCAGCAAAGAAAATAAAAAAATAAAAAACACAGAGAAACCAGTTGAAACGGCCCAAAGAAAGGAAGAAGGAAGGCAAAGAAACGGTGTTAGTTTTAGGTATTTTATAGCCCCACATTTAAAACGTGTCAAAATATTATTGGTTTGGTATACGCGGTATATTGTAGACTTTCTCCTCCTCTGGGGAAGTCGTGCCAAATTGGTGTTGGCAGCGTCCACCATGAAGAATATCCCAGATTCTTTTCTTTGTGGGGTTTTTTAAGGAGAATCCCGATGTTTTAGGGACATTAATTGACTAAAAGACCCTTTGGTTACCACAAAATCATGAGCCAGGCTATGGCTGTTTTTGGGTGGGCACACCTAAGTTTTGCTTCGAGAATTTGTCTAAATCAAAAACGCCCTTTGCTTTCTATTTTGATGATGGAGCTTTAACACCTTAAATAAATAAAATATGAGGACATGATTCTTTATGAATCTCTACTTTGGACACAAATGAGTTGTCTTTTATTTAATATATTTTGCATTGCAAAAATTATGTTGGTATTTGTTTTAATGTTTGGGCAACAGTTATTAATTATTGGTTTTAATTGAATGAATTACATACTTTAACTTATAAGTAATAATGATCTTCAATCATTAAGTATTAATATCAACTATTAACTGCATTAAAACATTTAACCCAAACACCCATTATTTTTTAAAGAAAAAATGTTTATTAGTCGCATTTATAAAAAGTTTGATAAAAAAATACTTAAAATTAT